ATATTTTGACATATACTGAATACACATACTCGATAAGATTTTGCTATAGCTTGTCTCCAACGCAGACATTGAGAAATACTGTTCTAGTGTTGACTGGCGTTTGTCTTAACCTAATTCTGTTGTTTCTTTGAATACAATCTAAGATAATTTTCTTAGCAATCTTCTGAACAGTAAAAAGTATTGTAAACTGATGAGAAAAGTGTATATATACTATATTATTTATATTTAAAGAGATGGAAGTATGACTTATTTTATTTTAAACATTTTATTCAAGATAATTAATGTATAGTATTATATTAGTTTCAGGTGCACAGTACAGTGATTCTACAATAGTATAAGTACTATACAAGGTCAAATGTGATCTAAGAAGAATAAATAAACTAACATGCTTCAAGTGAGTATGCATTCCTATCCTCTTTGTGGTAATCTGGAAATGCATCAAGGTAGTAGTTAACATTTAAACTGATAGACCTTGAAGAAAAGACATCATTTCAATTACAAAATAAGATGGACAGTTGTGGGGTGGGATGGAGGATTTTATTCTCTTTGGAGAGACCCATACAGGCAAAAGGTTGAACTGAGAGAGTGAGATGTGTCTAGAAGGCTTTCAGTAACTGTGTGTATGGGTGTGTATGGGTTTAACACAAGGTCCATTAGAAGAATTAGGGGGAAAGGACTTTAACGTTAAACCAAGGTTTATTTAAAAAAAATTCAATTAACTCCAGGGTGAACAAATGCAGGGTGAAGAAGATACTTATTGATATATGGATATAGATATAAGTGTAGATCTAAGTAGATCTATATCACATAATCTGGACTTACACACAAGCAAAAAATTTATGCATATGTATATATAGAGAGATCTACATAAATATACCATATATAATACTACCTGACCTAGTAGCAAAGACAATCTATTAAATGTTATTGAAAAGAGATATCATTTAATCTGAGCTAAATTTACAAAGTTCAGGAAGTAAGAGAGATTCAGCAAGAAGGTAAGGATAAGTAATTAGAGTTTGCAAATCCCGGAAGTGGGTAGTTATGGGGATAACAGCCTCAGTGGTATCGGTGGGATTGTGTATGGAATCAGTGGTAGAGAGAAAGGGTAGGTGTGGATTGAAGTTGGATCACTCATTACACTTTGCAAATGGAGTGTGAGGAAAACTAACATTTATGGACTTTGAGGCACAAAACATTCTAACTCTCTGTATGCATTCACTGTGACATTATATCATCTTAACATTATTTGGACTTCGGTAACATGCATTTAAAGCCCCTCATTGTCACCAGCACATTCCAATAAACTACATATTATTGATTTCTTAATCTTTCTAGCTTAATTTTTTTTTTTTTACTTCTAGGAAATTTGAAACCATTCTTTCCTATTCAGTCACTTTTGTCTATGTCCACCCCAACTTAAATCCTCAGTTGAATCTGTTAGCTTTCTTTATTAGTGAAGTTGTCTAGATTGCCCAACAACATACAAACACAGCTAGAAAGGGCCTATAGAAGGCATCATAGAAAGTGAGAGGCAACTTGCCTCTAACTTCCTTTAAGAAGCACACTAAGTTAAGAGCATCTCTTTCGCTTGACGCTTTCTTCATTGTCTTAAAACCCTTGTCATTTTCTTCCCTCATTGCTCCCATTTCTTTTTATTTCTCTGTGATATCAGAGTTGAATCCACAAAAGAGGTAAAATTCTCCATGCCCCAAATAAAGTAGAAAGAGAAACCTTTTGATGGCTGGCAGAATTCCTGGGATTTGCCTCTGTTCACTCAAACACAAATCTGCCTCCACTATCCAGTTAAATGTAACATGGATTTTGGCTATACAGCTGTTTATGTATTAAAGACATCACAATCAAGTTCTGTTCAGAGGCACTGTGCTACTTTAGTACTTAATGCATTTATAAAGTCACACCAAAGAACAGACAATCCTGTGAGATATTTTCATTTTTGTTTTCTGCTTTAATTATTTAAGTATGATATGAATAGTTGCTTAAAATTCCTTGTGTGATTTGAATAATATGCACAAATATTTTAAGGAGATATTAGGTTCTCCCACCTTAAGTCATTAAAAGACTAGGACAATTATAATTGTAAAAAAAAAAATTAAATACTACTCAACTCATAGTAACATTAGTTGGCACAATTTTGTCTTTTTAATGGAAGGAGAATAGATACTAGTATGAAATCTAAGCATTTCTCTTTAACATTTTTCTCAGTGAATCTATGACTTTCTTATTTCTCAGGCTGTAGATCATTGGATTTAAGAAAGGAATTATTATGGTGTAAAATAGAGAGTCCATCATATCTTGATCATCTGCCTGTGCAGATCCAGGGCGCACATACATGAAGAGAAGGATAAGAGATGGTCTCCACAGGTGGAGAAGGCTTTCCTTATGCCTTGCAGAGACTTCTTTTTTAAGATTATAAAAAGAATTAATGTGTAAGAGATAAGAACAATCAGAATGGTGAGCATCTGAATTGACCCAGAAAAAATAAATACTATGAGAATATTAAGAGACGGATCAGTACAAGAAATTTTAAATAATGGCATGATGTCACCGTAAAAGTGATGTATTATGTTACTATTACAGAAGGTTAATCTGAATAAAAAGCCTATATGAATTATGGCATGAAAAAGGCCACCTACAAATGATGAAATCAACAGCTGCATGGAGAGTCTGTAAGTCATAATTCTTGGATAAAGTAAAGGCTTGCATACAGCCACATACCGATCATATGCCATTGTTGCCAGGAGAAAACATTCTGTGGTGGCACCGACGTAAAGGAAAAAAATTGTATCATGCATTCAGAGAGAGAGATCATCTTATTCTTGGCAAAGAAGTTGACCAACATCTTGGGGGATACTGTAGATGACATCCAAGCATCCACAAATGCCAGACTCCCAAGAAATAAATACATGGGAATGTGAAGGTGAGGATCATTGCAGATGAGAACAATCAGACTGAGGTTTCCCACAATGGTGATGAGATATATAACCAAGAACACCAGGAATGAGGGAATTTGCCACTCTCGTTGATATGTGAGTCCCGTGAGAACAAACTCTTCCAGCTCTGTTGTATTTTTAGTTTCCATATTCTTAATAGATGGCTTCTGAAATTAAATGTGGTATATTTAAAAAGAACATTCATTAAAGATTTATAAAAGACAATTCAGTGAGGGTAACTGAAATAAAATCATACAGTGGGCTGTAATTTTATTTATTCTAACAAGGCAACTATTTGTGGGAATTGTTATACTGGAAAAATACAACTATTTAAGTTCATACTATGTGCAGAATAAGCAGATTTGGAAGACAAGAAAAACATTCTGAACATGAGCAAATTTATGGGGTAACCATTGAATGAGGTAGGCAAATTCTGTGTGTAAGACATTGATGCAGCAACAAAAGTAAAGATGTTAGAAGGGCCTGGATTGTACAGTGAGTCAATGCCCTGTGAAACATCTTCAAATTTATCCTTCAAACAATAGGTTGGGACTGAAAATTTTAAGAAAGGAAGTGGCATCCTAAGATATTTATTAAATTAAATGTTTGGTTGTAGAAAATAGGCTGAAGAGAGAGGAAACTAAAGTAAAGGACACCAATCAGGAAGTTGTTATTATTGTCCAGTGATTCCCAAGCCAAAATATGCATCAAAATTATCTAGGAGAGTTCTTGTACAAAATATAGATTCTGAGATATTACAATAGAAATTGATTTGGTAGGTCATGAATTGGTTGTAATAATATGCATTTTATAAATGTTGCCAGTTGATTAAACAGCATATGAAGTTCTTAGACTATGTGTGATATGACATGGGGAGTAATGAGGAGGACAAAGAGGTAGCTCAAAGTCAACCAGAATGTACAGTCACTAGGACTCAGTGACATATTAGATGTGAAGGGAGGTGGTCAGTGAAGGAAAAAGAAGACACTTTGTGCCTGGGTAGATGGTCATCAAAAATTGAGACTGAGGACTCAGGTGTGGTAGCCAGTTTTTGCAAGGAACATTCTGGGAACATCTGGGTGAGATATATTCAGCAGTATGGTTTTATAAGAGCTTAATAGATATGATGACTGGGAGCCATTAGGGTGACTAAAAACATAGTTATATATGATTCATCATTGAAGAGTGTGCATAAGGTAAAAAGAAGGAGGACATAGAAAGAAACTCAAAGAAGTTTTATTAAAGAGATTAGAAAATGGGTATACATGATGTATTTGTTGGATAATATCTGATCCTATGTTCTGCTACATGAGTCCTGGTGGCAGAAAAAGCTGTCATCTGGTCTAGAGGCCAAAAGTTATAGATGTTGACATTCCCATCCCCTAGCACCTAGAATGAGGGGACTTGATGTAGGTTTGCCAGTCAAACTCACCTACACTGGATTTGGAATATGGAGAGAAGGACACAAAGGGTCAGGGGGAAAAAAAGAGAGTTTTGATTACAAAATCAACCAAGGGAAAAGTAGAAAATGTATCCTACACCCACAACAATGGCATTATCAGTTGAGCTGTTACATTCTGCATCCAGGAGCAAGGACAGAAGCTCTTATCAAGCTATATATACTAGGGACATGATTTTGGCTGTTTGACAGGCTGTCTTTCTGGCATTGTGTTCCTGCCCATTTTTCCAGTGGATTTCTCCAATCCCCTAGCATTTCTATATTAAAGCCAATTCCCACTCACTTAACCCATCTCCTCTTGCAACCAAGAGCTCTGGATTAGACAAAACAAGACAAGGAAAGACTAGTAAGGACACTGAGCAGAGTGATCAAAGAAACATGAAGGAATAGGAAAGGTGAGTGTTCCAGAATTAAAGAGAGAAAAACACTCAAGAAGGACAAAGTGAAGTACAGTGCCAAAAGTGAAAAGTGCTCTGGTGGAATAAGGAGTGATCAGCGATCATTAAGTGTGGAATTAAGAGATTCATAGTTGTGGGAAACAGAACGCCACAACGACCACTTGGTGCATGTTCATTCAGTCTCCGAGATCTCTGAGAAAACTCGAGATTGCAGGGTTAAAAATAACCCGAAAGGATCAGAGTGAAATGCCCTTGGGATGTGTGTGGTCTGTTCTAAAGTACACAGCAGAAGATGTTTTGTAGATAGGAAGCCAGCTGTAAACAGCACACTGTGCATTCCCTTCTTTGTTCTCTTATCCTGTGTTAAGGTCCGAGTACAATGGTGTTTACAATTAATTGATCACAGCCAGTTACAGATTTCTTTACTCCTTCTCCACTCCCACTGCTTCACTTAACTAACCCTGTGTACATGGAAGAATGTGCCTTACTAAGCCCCTGCTGTAAATCATTATAGACCTATATCATCGTAGAAGGTATATTAGATTATGGAAAATAAACCTCAGCACCTCAGGCTGTTTGCTCGGGGTCCCCTGTGCCTCGCTATACTGTCGTCTTTTTCTCAGTTCCTTCGCCGCCCAGGTCCCCGACTCTCTGAGGTCAACAAGAGGTGCCCGAACAGGAACCTGAAGCCCCCATCGAGGAGTGATCGGCCAGCGATAGGAACCCTACAGAAGGTGGTAAGTAGGAAAGTTTATTATAGGGTTATGGGGCAATCAAATTCGAAAACATCAAGTTTTGCTGCATTAATACATCATTTTCTTAAAGAATATGGAGCTAAAGTTACTAAGCAGTGCATAGAAAAATGTTTGGAAACAGTAGTTGAATATAATCCTTGGTTTCCGGAAGAAGGCTCCTTAGATGAGGAGACTTGGATCTGAGTGAAAAATAATGTCTTGAGGGCTATGAGACAGGGTGAAATGATTCCCCTTGATTTCTGGCCCATTTGGGCTTTAGTACGAGTGGTTATCAATACTATGGAAACTGGGATAAGTTATCCCCGGCTGAGGTTGCTAAAGAAACTACCAACTCTTTACATACATATGAATTAGACGATGAGACTTTAGAAAAGGCTAAGACTGAAAGTAAAAAAATTTCCTCGGCTTTACAGTCCCGGCCGTCACTCACGGCCCCTCCGGTTTTAATGGAGGACCCCACCGAAGATGATCAACCTCCCTCCACAGTAGATTTATTCCCTCTCAAAAGGTCCTCTTTAGCTCTCTCACCTCTCGAAAAGGAACTCTGACGGCAAGGGGCTAATGATCTATTTATGGCTTTCCCCATAGACTGAACACAAGCTGCTGGTCCCGTCTATGAGGGATTAGATTTAAATGCTTTAAGGGAACTAAAGAAGGCTTGCCACTTGTATGGACCCACAGCCCCTTACACTATAGAGATTTTGAAAGCTTGGGCAAATTCTGGGGAGTGGATCCATCATGACTGGCATATAGTTGCACGGACTTGCCTTAAGCCACAGGATTTATTGCAATGGAAAATGTGGTTATCGGACTCCCCTTATATGAAAGCCCAGGCGAATCGGGCTAACCCAGCCATGCACCATATTTCTTTTGAAATGCTCACTGGCTCTGGCCCCTTTTCAGATGTTCGAGAGCAGTTGGTCAACACTCCACCTGCAGCCACAGCGCAGGAATCTGAAATCGCCCTCGCAGCTTGGGGAAAGCTAACCCCTTCAGGAGAAGTGGGGCAAAGTTACATAAAAATTGTGTAAGGCCCTACAGAAGAATATACTGATTTCATTTCTCAGCTCGAAATGGCTATTGACTGCCAAGTCAATAATAAACCTGCCAAAGGGCACTTGCTAAGACAGCTTGCTTTTGAAAATGCTAATGAGGACTGCCAAGTGGCCATCCGGCCACACGGGGAAACAGGAGGCATTCTCGATTATCTTCGTCTATGTAGAAATATTGGCACTTTTACACATCAAGCTCGGATAGCCTCCCTTCAACTCATGGCCCCTTCCAATAGAAAAATTGCAGGTGCTCAATTATTCAAGAGCAATTGCAGGCAGGACAAACAAAGCCTTCCCAATCTCCTTGGAACTCTCCTGTTTTTGTTATCAGAAAGAAATCAGGTAAGTGGAGGCTCTTAATAGACCTTCAGAATGTTAATCCCATCATGGAGCCTCTGGGTGCCTTGCAGCCTGGGTTACCCACCCCCACATCCATTCCCAAACAATGGCCATTGATAATAATAGATCTTAAGGATTGTTTCTATACCATAGCCATTGACCCTGAGGATAAGGAGAAATTTGCCTTTTCTATTCCCAGCACTAACAGTAAGGAACCAATGAGACGATATCAATGGACAGTTTTGCCACAAGGCATGACTAATTCTACCATGCGTCAGTATTATGTTGGCCAGGTCCTCAGACCTGTACGAGATCATTATCCTCGATCCTATATCATTCATTATATGGATGATATTTTGCTGGCGTCACAAACTGAAACCGAATTACAAAATGTGTATCAGGCCACTTCCCAACATTTGACTTCCGCCAGTCTCATAATAGCCCCGGAGAAAATCCAAACAACTACTCGGGCTTCTTATCTAGGCACTGTGGTAGATAGAACCACAGTGAAACCTCAAACAATGCAAATTCGTAGGGATACCCTCCTTTCACTTAACGATTTTCAGAAACTTCTAGGAGACATTAACTGGATTCGCCCTCTCCTAGGGATTCCAACTTATAAATTACAAAATTTATTTAACTCAGGACGCATTCACACTATAAAATACACTGGCGCTCTGCCAGGCAAATAGTCTCTTCCTGTCCTATTTGTCGACCTCTACATTTAACTGAGCATCCAGCGGGCGTCAATCCCAGAGGCACAGCTCCTGATTGTATTTGGCAAACGGATGTTACTCATTTTCCCCCTTTCGGATGCCTCTGATATATTCATGTCACAATAAACACCTTTTCAGGATTTCTTCATGCTACTCCTTTGACGGGGGAAAAGGCTGGGCATGTCATTTCTCATTTGCTTGAATGTTTTGCTATTATGGGGTTACCTACTTGTATCAAGACAGACAATGGCCCAGCATATACTAGCAAAAAAGTACGAGAATTCCTTGCAGAATGGCAAATACAGCATATCACAGGTATTCCTTATAATCCTCAAGGACAGGCTGTAGTAGAAAGGGCGCATGCCACCATTAAAAAACAACTCCGTAAAACTATGTCTAAAAAGAAAGGGGGAATCTCCCCCTGAGACGTCATGGCACAAACCTTATTTATTTTAAATTTTTTAAATTTACCCCAAGGAGAATCATATACTAGAGCTGACAAACATTTCTCACCAGCCTCAATCTCAACTCAGGACGCACCCGTGTGGATAAAAAATGAGGAAAATAATTGGTTGCTCGGGAAATTAATTACCTGAGGCCCTGGTTATGCTTGTGTCATTCCAGATGGATCCAGTCGAGCAATTTGGATACCTCTTGGAAAGTCCGGCCCAGGACCGGCGATAAAGACAACAGAAGAGGTCTCTCAGCCGCTGCACGGATGGACTACCCAACCCCCTGTCCGAGAGATGGCAACACTCCTTGAAGAGACCTCGAAGACGATAGATGCCCCTGATAACACTCCCAACCTGGGGGCAACTGAAGACCCTCACTCAGAGGGCGGAGCGAGTCCTGGAGATGACCAGATCTACCAAAACCCCTGAACATTTGTTCCTGGCTATGTTAGCGGTATATGTTGCCTTATATTTCTCATAGGATACAGTACTCTCAAAAAACGAGTGAATGCCCAAAATCTCCATCACAGAGTGCTTATGACAGCGACTGTTTTGAAAAAAGAAAGGGGGAGCTGTGGGAAACAGAACGCCACAACGACCACTGGTGCATGTTCGCTCAGGCTCCGAGATCGCTGAGAAAACTCGAGATTGCAGGGTTAAAAATAACCCGAAAGGATCAGAGTGAAATGCCCTTGGGATGTGTGTGGTCTGTTCTAAAGTACACAGCAGAAGATGTTTTGTAGATAGGAAGCCAGCTGTAAACAGCACACTGTGCATTCCCTTCTTTGTTCTCTTATCCTGTGTTAAGGTCCGAGTACAATGGTGTTTACAATTAATTGATCACAGCCAGTTACAGATTTCTTTACTCCTTCTCCACTCCCACTGCTTCACTTAACTAACCCTGTGTACATGGAAGAATGTGCCTTATACTAAGCCCCTGCTGTAAATCATTATAGACCTATATCATCGTAGAATGTATATTAGATTATGGAAAATAAACCTTGGCACCTCGGGCTGTTTGCTCGGGGTCCCCTGTGCCTCGCTATACTGTCGTCTCTTTTTCTCAGTTCCTTCGCCACCCCAGGTCCAGGACTCTCAGAGGTCGACACATAGTGGCTTTCATGAGAGCAGTTTCCATTTTCTGATAGAGTTGAGGTCAGAGAGTAATAAGTGAATGGGAAACAAGGGGCACTGCAGTGAGGAGAATGAAATAGGGTGCTCCAAGGAATGTGGGGAGCAGTGGGGATCATCTGCTGCCCACTGAGTATCCATAGTGTGTTCATAGATGGATAGGGATAGGAAAGGCCAGGCCCTGAAGAGAGATAGAGGAAGTATCAGAGAAAGGCTGAAGAGGAAATAAAGGGAAAAGCACAGAGATTGGGGGTAAATGTTTGTCTTAATTCTGGTTTTCATTAAAAGTTGTCAATACTGGGTATCATTTCTATTTCTTTCATTCCAAATTCCAACTTTATTTTTCTATGGAAAATGCGTATGAAATAGAAACTGTCATTTTAATTTAGGCCAGAAATTTTGTATTGTTCACAAACATACGAGCACTGCTGAAAGTTCTTTCCATATTTAAAAGTTACTTTATCTTTGTTTTTACAGTAATTAGAACTGACTTTCTCTAACTATTCCCGTTTTACTTGAGAGCCCTTTCCTCTCCACCAGGTTTTTAGCAGAATAAAATCGAACAAAAGACTGGAACCTAATCCAGGCAATCTAAATAGCCAATGCCAATGATTGCAATTGGTAAATGTATATTTATTTGGAATGGGTTTCCCTCCATACAATCCCAAACTACTAAATAATTGAAAATTCAAGTTCAATCATTGAGCCTTTATTAAGTCAGAAAGTAGAAAGAACCCTGGAGGGATATTTTCTGCATTTTTCCTCTTATGTATATATATAAATTACTCAATGAAATTATTGTCAGAAGTGGGTGAAAGGATACACAGGTGAAGAGTTTAGTGATTTAACTTAAAAGCTTAATCAGAGAATGTGGTTAATTAAATGGAATGAACATTTTGAACAGAATTATCAGAAAGACTTCTTACATGGGAAACATTATGACCTAAATCCTTAAACCCATTTTTAAATTGTCTAACATTCTAGTTCACCAAGCTTATCCTATGGAGTCATTATAATTTTGCTATGATTGATGATTAAAGAGTGCAATTTAGTCTTCGAGCCATTTTGCTTACCCAGATTTTACTCACAATAGTAAAACATTATTAGATTATTCACTATTTGTTTTCTAGTTTGTTTCAAATTTTTATTTAAATTCTAGTTAGTTAATATATAGTATCATACGAGTTGTTTCCCATTTTCAACCTGCTATTTGGTCATGTTATAAACCAAATCAAAATTATTTATAAATGTAACAGTATTTTTAACTTTCTATAAAAAACAATGAGTATTACATAAATCAATCTCTTACCAATATCTCTTAAGACATTATGGAGATCCTATCAAGGCTGGGCTTTCTTAAGTGGAAAAATATTTTGTTGCACCAGAATGACCATAGCACAGGCAGCAACTCTTTGCAAACTGATTCATTTTGGAGGCTTCATTTACCAAACTCAGCAAAATGCTGTTTATATAAATTTGTGTTGAACACAAGAGTCAACCAACTGTACAACTGTGTGCTTTTGCCAGAAGAAGACGGCGTGAAGAGCTAAAATTCCCCTAATGGCATCCAAGGGTTCCCTTTAGGACAAAACTAAGCTGTTCTTCTGGGCATTGCAGATTTGAATCTGTATGAGAAGTCCAGGAGTCCCATCGGGCATTACAGCCTGCGAGATCAAAAACATCATGTCACGTATACAGTTCTAGTTGCAACAGTAGAAATTGCACTTTATGCCCCTGCTTTCCACGACAAATGACAATTCTGACATGTTTATGCAAATCAGTATCTATAAAATAGGTGTTGTTCTGAGTGCTTTGATCAATATGTTCTTGTCTGAGCTAATCATACATGATTTATTTTAATCATACATGATTTACTGAGGCCAGAGTTTAGATTCCCTTCAGGAGTCAACTCCAAGGAAAGTGGTCCTCCTCACGCAAACTGCAGCTCACATTCCAGGCTTTGACCTGACTCCACACTTTAAGCTGAAATCTGATGAAAAATCTTAGTAGGCAAAGGTCAGGGGAAGTGCAAAGGGAAACAAAGATAAAGCACCACAGTGAGAGGTACCATAGCTCAGTGCTTCTCAAACTTTAATGCCTGTGAATCTCCTAGAGAGAAATCTTGTTAAAATGCAGATTCTGTGTCTGTAGATCTAGGAGGGGCCTGAGGGTCTTCATTTCTAACATGGTGATTGCTGCCTCTGGTCTTGTGTCATCCACAAGACCTTTATTGTTGGAGGGCCTAGAATATCAGAGAGCCCAGATCATAGGAGAAGCACTGCATTGTAAATGTGGCTGGCATGTTATGAGAGAAGCAGGCAGGAACCAGTTGGGGTCAGGGAGGCCAGCATATAATCACAAGGGACCTTGGAGGATGTGTCAGGGGCTTTATTCTTTACCCTAACGTAATGCAAAACTATTGAGGGATTTAAAACTTGGTTCAGATTTGTCTCAACAGAGAAAGTTGCCAATGAACATTCGTTCAGAAAAATAAAACTTAATTTACTTGTTTATGACAATTTGATTTGATATCTTAAAAAAAAAAATTAACCTCCAGTTGCATCATGGCCAGCAACATAGGCAAGGAAAAGAGACGTATTTTTTGATAGATTTATTAATCCATTTTCCTGGATTTCCAACATTCTTAGAATGTTGATAGTGCAAGAGAAAGTGAAAAATTAACATAGATGAAAGAGGATTCACTGTGAATATTCTGCAAAAGGGTTGAGTAAGCAGCATGATGAGCAGAGGTACTTTTTTTTTTTTTTTTTAAGATTTTATTTATTTATTTGAGAGGGGGAAAGAATCCCAAGCCAAATCTGTGCTGAGCTGTCCAGGGCTCCATCCCATGACCCTGAGATCCTGACACGAGTTGAAATTAAGAGTTGGAGGCTTAACTGACTGAACCACCCAGGCACCCCCAGAGGTAGCTTTTAACATAACAAAACTTGGCTGAAATTTCCTTCCCCCTTAAATGTTGTGTCCTTATCTCCTAACACATTTTGTTGTTTCGCTATGAGCACAAAAGGTCTGTATTGTTGCTTCTGGTATGGATTGTCTTTTCAATTTCAGTTATTTTAATAGGTAGGTTGTAGTGTTTCATTGTAGCTTTAATTTGCATTTCCCTGATGATTAAGGATGGTTAGCATCATTTGGTGCCCTTATTTGACTTCTGTATGCCATATTCAGTGAAAAGTCTATTCAAATCTTTTACCAGTTTTTAATTGGATTATTTGTTTTCTATTTTTTTAGTTTTCATAGTACTCCTTATATCTGAATATGAGTCCATTATCAGCTAAATGATTTACACATATTTTCTGAAATTCTCTGATTTGTCATTTTATTTTAAAAATATTTCTTGAACAGCAAGTCTTTTAATGAAGTTAATTATAAATTTTTTTTCTTTTATGGATGGTGCTTTTGGTGTTGTATTTCTTTGATTGTACATTTATGTCTATTATCCTTTTTTGTGTATTATCTGGATCAGAATTCCTTTTTTGCATATAGATATCCAATTGTTTCTGCTTAATTTGTTGAAAAACTATCTTTTCTCTGCTGAATTACTTTTTACCTTTGTAAAATCAGCTGTCCATATATTTATGGGTTTATTTCTGTACTTTATTCTGTTTCACCGATTTATTTGTCTATGTTTACAACAATATGGCACTGTCTTGATACTGAAGTTCTATATGAAGTCTTAGAATCAGATATTGTTAGACATCTAACTTTGTTCATTTTCAAAGTGGTCTTGACTATTATTGTGCATTCTTTGCATTTCCATGTGAATAATAGAATCAGCTTCATCAGTTTCTATAAGAAATCCTACTGTGATTTTTATTGGGCTTTTATTAAATCTGTCGGTGCATTTAGGGAGAATTGACATCTTTTTCAATACTGAATCTTCCAATCCACCTTTCCATTTATTTAGGTATTCTTCAATTTCATTCAGAAAAGCTTTTTTTTTCTTTTTCTGAGTAGAGATTTTGCACATTATTTGTCAGATTTACCACTGCTTTCATATGCTTTTAACTATTGTGCACAGCGTCCATACATACATACATCCACATGTTTGCAGATAGGGAAATTATGCAGTATACATACTTTTGTAAACTGCTATTCATGCTTAATACAGAGAGAGTGAAAGCTCTAGAGAAAGGAGTTTAAGTCCATACTCTGATACCTTCTGCATTTCCTTTTTTCCTTCTCTTAGGAAATTCGTTTATTAAAATAAAAGGACAAAGACCCCACCAAAAAGGAGAATTACAGACCAATATCCCTGATGAACACGGATGCAAAAATTATCACCAAAATACTAACCAATAGGATCCAACAGTACATTAAAAGGATCATTCACCATGACCAAGTGGAATTTATTCTTGGGCTGCAAGGTTTTTTCAATATCCGCAAATCAATCAATGTGATACACTACATAAATAAAAGAAAGAACAAGAACAATATGATCTTCTCAATAGATGCAGAAAAAGCATTTGACAAAGTACAGCATCCTTTCTTGATTAAGACTCTTCACAATGTAGGGATAGAGGGTACATACCTCAATAACATAAAAACCATCTATGAAAAGTCCACAGTGAATATCATTCTCAATGGGAAAAGCCTGAGAGCTTTTCCCCTAAGGTCATGAACACGGCAGGGATGTCCATTCTCACCACTGTTGTTCAGCATAGTACTAGAAGTCCTAGCCTCAGCAATCAGACAACAAAAAGAAATAAAAGGCATCCAAATTGGCAAAGAAGAAATCAAACTCTCATTCTTTGCAGATGACATGATACTTTACATGGAAAACCCAAAAGACTCCACCCCAAAATTGCTAAAACTCAGACAGGAATTCAGTAAAGTTGCAGAATATAAAATCAATACCCAGCTTGGAAATCCCTTTTACGAAGATGGTACCAAAAGTAAGAAGGAAGCCCCTGCCCCTCCCAAAGCCAAAGCAAAGGCTTTGAAGGCCAAGAAAGCAGTGCTGAAAGGTGTCCACAGTCACAAAAAAAAGGAAGAAGAAGAAAAAGAAGAAGAAGAAGAAGAAGAAGAAGATCCACACCTCACCAACATTCCGACGACCTGAGACACTGCGCCTGCGGAGGCAGCCCAAATATCCTTGAAAGAGCGCCCCCAGGAGAAACAAGCTTGATCACTATACCATCATCAAGTTCCCCCTGACTACTGAGTCAGCCATGAAGAAAATAGAAGACAACAACACACTTGTGTTCATTGTGGATGTCAAGGCCAATAAGCACCAGATCAAACAGGCTGTGATGAAGCTCTACGACATTGACATGGCCAA